GATAAAAGTAGGTAATAAAGAGAAGGGGAGTACCTATCTGGGGCCCTTCTCATCCTCGGTTCTCGGCCCAGTGCCAGAGGCGTGCTGCTCTCAGCAATCGGTTCATCCGATTCTGGTTCTGTCTCTTCTTCTGTATGCTCGATCTCATCTATCTGAGCTCCCACTGAATCTGCTGGTCTCATGATTCCGGTATTTGAAATATCGAGACCAACATACTCCTGCATGGTCTTGTCATCGTCTGGGTATTCCTTCCGGTCCTTGTACATTATGCCTTCATTGAACACCACATTACGACTGCGAATAATTTTCCGATTTTGATCATCCCAAAATCTATACCCAAATTCGTCAGTCCCATATCCAATGAATGTACATTTGATGGACTTAGCATCCAGCTTTGTCCGGTCGTCGTTCAAAACGTAAGCCAAACAACCAAAGGTACGTAAGAAAGAGAGATCAACTTCCTTACCACTCCAGACCTCTTCTGGAATTTTGTTGTTAAGTGGGACAGAAGGCCCTCGGTTGATCAAGAAAGCGGCCGTGCTGACTGCTTCTGCCCAAAACATCATGGGCAATCCACTCTTCAATCGCATGCATCTTGCACGCTCATTCAGTGTCCTGTTCATCCTCTCTGCAATGCCATTTTGTTGAGGTGTCCCTGGGACCGTCTTCTGCATCCGGATCCCATGATCAGCGCAGTATTCCTTGATGGCTTCACTATTGTACTCGCCACCATTGTCGGATCTGAGACATTTCACTTCCAGACCTGTCTCTTTCTCCACGAGTGCTCTTTATCTCCTGAAAGTATCAAAGGCTTCGGATTTTCTTTTCAGAAAGTACACCCATACCTTTCTTGTGCAGTCATCGACGAACGTCATGTAGTACATCGATCCTCCAAGAGATGTCACCGGTGCTGGCCCCCATAAGTCAGTGTGCACGAGCTCCAGTTTTTCTGTCTTTGGAGCTCTCCCGGTGGTCGTGAAACTCACTCGCTTCTGCTTTCCAAGCACGCATTGCTCGCAGAGACCCACGTCCACTGACTCCAACTCGGGTAAAAGTCCTCTCGACTTTAGTACCTTCATTCCTTTCTCGCTCATGTGGCCCAAACGACTGTGCCACAAGTGCGATTGTGAGACAGCTCCTGCCAGGAGAATGTTTGAGCTGGATCCACTCGCCGTGTAAAGCGTTCCTGACTTCAGCCCTCTTGCCAAAGTCATAGCTCCTCGGCTGACTTTCCACTTTCCGTCTCCAAACATTGTGTGGAAGCCGTCATTGTCTAGCTGTCCAACTGAGATGAGATTTCTCTTCAGTCCTGGAATGTGCCTCACATCCCGTAGGGTCCAGCATGACCAATTTGCTGACTTGATCTGCACATCTCCTTTCCCTACAATTTTTAGGGGTTTGTTGTCTGCAAGATATACCACGCCAAAATTACCTGCGGTGTATGGCTCCATGATGTCTCTGCTACTGCAAGAGTGAAACGAGGCCCCTGAGTCCACAATCCAGTCATCGAGCGAGCTTCTCACACTCAACAAGAGTGCATCTGCCGTGTCCTCCGTCGCGGCATTGGCTGTCCGACCCTCTTTGTCCTTCTTCGGTGCCCGGCATTCACTTTTCATATGCCCAGGCTTCTCGCAGTTCCAACACACCATTTCTTTCTTGCCTTTATTCCTCCCCCTGTATTTTGACCTCCCACGGATTTTCCCTCGTGTTTCGGGTCTCCCTCTGGACTCTGTATGTAAGGCTGAGCCAGACGACCCACCCGTCTGATTTCTGCGGGTCTCCTCGTTCAGCATCATATCTCTTATGTTGTCGAACTTCATCTTCTCCTTGCCAGAAGAAGTGCTCACCGAAGTAACAACCACGTCCCAACTGTCCGGCAATGATGAGAGCAAGATTAGGGCTTTTACCTCATCATCGAACGAAATATCCACCGATGCCAACTGCGTCGTGAGTTGGTTAAAATCGTTGAGATGATCGGCCACTGACTTTCGCTCCTCCATTTGCAATTTGAACAGCTTTTTCATCAGCATCACCTTGTTTATTGCTGATGGTTTTTCATACATGTCGGCGAGTGTTTGCAAGACCTCCTTCGTGCTTTTTGCTCCCTTCACATGGTAGGCGACGTTCCGAGAGAGCGAAAGATTTATAGCGCTCATCGCCTTCCGATCGAGCACCTTCCATTCATCATCGCTCATCTTCTCAGGCTTTTCCCCAAGAGGTGCGTAGAGGTCCTTCCCGTACAGGTAAGCCTCCATTTGCATTCGCCAGAATCCAAAGTCGGAACCATTGAACCGTTCGACTGGAATCTTTCCCTCCATCTTATCTCCAACCTCCTGTCTTTGATACCAGTTGTTGGGAAATAAGGTCGGATAAGATGGAATAATAATAACACACCAATGTGAAATCGATAAAAGACACGAAAGTTTGTTAACCCAGTTCGGATTAAATCCTACGTCTGGGGGCGAACCAAGCCAGGAGAATGAACTAGAAAAAGAGGATAAACCGAATGTTACAACTCACACAAGCCCGTATGAATACACTCTCTCTACTCTTTTTCTCTCTATCTCTCTTGTTATGTTTTCTTTTGTTGTGTTTTTTACATCATGATTCTAGCTCTATTTATAGAGAAAGAATGCATCAAAATTTCTACAAATGTGTGCTAACATTTTTCTCCCACGGTGTGCTACTCCATTTTTTTTTTATTTATCTTTGGTAGTTAGAAGAAAATGGGTTGTTGCCCATTGACTTAACAAATTCGGCATGACAATTTTGTAAAAGTCAAAATTCTTTTATTTTTTATTAAAAAAATTTGTTTACCATAAAATCAAGAATTTCGAATTAGGAAAATACTATATAATGTATTTTTATCTAATTACAACATATCATGTTTATTAAAAAAATCGAATTGCATAGAAATTAGTCCAAATTGAAAATTAAAATTTAAAACTTCCTTATCATTTGGCTAATAATTTCTCTAATTCGAATTTTTTTAAACACAAAACAGAGTCAAATAATATTAATTTGAAATTCAAAATGAAATCGGACTGGAACTTCCTAACAATTTGGGTTTTGTTTAATCCTCTAGATTACACAATTTTTTCCTTCATTAAATTAAGTAATTTACAATTTTAAAATAATAAGGTCATAGATTATCAAAAAAGACGTTGTACAATATCTGTTATATTTGGCTATACAAGGCGATAGGCGATGTACCAAAGACCAAATAAATAATATTTTGTACAAGAATCTATACTTATATAAAAAAGCATTCTATTTACTAGAATTAATAGTAAGAAAAGTCAAAGGTAATTAATGCATTCTATTTCCATCAAGTATTTTATTTAATTTTTTAGTTAATTGTTTTATCTCATAACAGCTTTTCAATACAACTTATCATAACTTTTCTATTGTGATTAAAAACCAAATTTTATGTTTAAAATATTGTGAAATTATTATTATTATTTTTATAAAGCACATATTATTTGTTGAAAAATATATATATATAATACACATCACAGTACCATGTTAGATGATTTAAATTTCAACCGACCAAAATGCCAATGATTTAAATTTGAACACACTTATGCGTTTGACCAAATGTCCGGATAATTTAAAATTGAGCCCATAAAAAATTATTTAAATTTGAATACACCAGAATTTTATGTACTTTATATATATATATATATATATATATATATATATTGAAAATGGTATTTATTGGCTGCTATATAAACTATTTTAATATATTTGCAATGAATAAAAGTTTGAATGAATAATTTGTAATGTTATTCATAATGTTTGTGACTTATGAACACGAATACATAACTCCATACATATTTGCCAGAGGGCGGCTTAATAATTTTTTAGACTTAACGTTGATTAAAAGAGGTAGAAAATAAATAATAACATTATTACTTTTTAGACTTAAACGGACAAGGCTGTGAAAATAACTCATTTAATATCTTTGTCTCGTGCATCGCACGGGGTACGTACTAGTATGTTTAATAATGTATATAAGTTGCATTTTATTTTATTTCAATACATGAGTTTTACGTTATTCTAATAATTCAATCATTCAAATCTAAATGTTTACCTTCACAAAACTAGCCCGTGCATCGCACACGGGTTACAAATAATTTCTAAATCTTCCACTATGCTTTAGAATCTTGATTGATGTGGAAATAGGAGTCGATTGTCTGGTTCTTGTTTGCTCTATAATTTTTCCAACATTTGGAAAGTTGGAGATGCAATTTATAAAGGTTTTGTTTCCTATATGGAAAATATGGAAATCTAACAAACTTTTTATCTTGACATTTCAAAAATGTATTGAATTTTGTCTTCTTTGTTTTTTTTTTTTTTTTTCATTTATTTATGCCATTTAAGCCATCTTCCTCACAACTTCCTAAAAGTGAACAATTCTTGGGTATGACTCAATACATTAGTTTTTTCATAACCACATGATTACTTCAAATTCCATTCATATTACACAATTACTAAAACTATTTGGGAGAAGAAATGCTGGCATATTGACAACTCCTCTATTAGGTTGTAAGATCTCATTCTGTTGCTTGTTTATGAGGATTAATTATAAAGGTTGTGATCTAATGCATGCTAAACCGAGCTTGCGACAACCCGAACGCTTATAAATCACGTCAAAAAGTAAATTTTGATTCGCTTTTAGGTACTTATAAGCTTCTCCACATGGAAAATGAACGGATTGGAACATTTGAACTAAGAACTGTCGCATTCTCAACTTTTTCAGAACGGTCGCATTCTCAACTTTTTCCACGTTTTATCACGTTGGTCTATGACAATGAGCTTTTTGTAAGGTAGCTCTGTTAGTCTACATTTTGTAAATTTCATGGATACTATAATCAGACAACTAATATGCAAAGAAGGAGCTAAGGATTTTGTCGACAACTATACATTTCACTCATAGACTCACTTAGATAAAGAAACCAAACTAACTTATAAAAATTTGAGTCAGCGACGAAAGAAAGATGCACAAGATGGTAACTTTAATCTCTTTCATGCCTTGTAATTCCATTTTGCAGCCTAGAGCTAGGTAATGGTTAAACCGAGCTTTTTTTTTTTTTTCAATTTATTATCTACAATGTAATTGCCTCCATGTTAATTAATGCATCAATTTATCTCCATTTCCTTGCAGCATCAAGACACATGGAAATGGAAGTGGTACGAGGTCGTCACCTCCATTTTAAAACGAAAAATTCATAATATTTATCATCATTAATGTTTATAAGCAAACTACTAATTCATGCAGTTAACAGTTACCGTACGGAAGTTTCTCGTAATCCAGCAATGGAGCGGCTGCAGTGTAACTATTTATTCCCTGAGGTTGCTAATAAATTCTGTAACCTTCATCCTTTTTTCTTCCCTTTATAAGCTTGCTTAGTTTGTAGTGAATACGAGTCATTGCTATCTTACAGATATCGGCACGTGAAGCACAACACATTGAAAAGTATCCGAACGCGAAAGTTATAAGCCTTGGGATTGGTGACACCACTGAGCCGTTACCGAATGTTGTTGCTTCGAGTATGGCTAATGTGAGTTTTTGTAAATAACTCTTGTAGACCGACACTCAAAATTCAGTGTTTATGCAGTAAATTTGGCTTTAACATCCTTCAAGACTTGATGACTTGAACTCAAATAGATTTCTTATATATCTTCAAGAAGACAAAGTATAGTTGTTTCTTTCTAAAGTACCTCATTTCTTTTCTTTTCAGTTTGCACTCAGCCTTGCAACACCGAATGGTTATCGAGGGTACGGACCAGAGCATGGGAGCAAAGTAAGAAATGACTGATCTTTCACAAAGAAATCGTTTATATTTGAGTTCGATTTATGCTGATCTTTCTCCTAAGGGATACTAATTAACCCGATTGTTGCAGGAGCTAGGAAAAGCAATTGCGAAAACATTTTACAAAAACATGGGTATAAAAGACACGGAAGTATTCGTATCAGACGGCGCACAGTGTGATATCTCACGCCTTCAGGTATATATATATGCATGCATGTATACAAAGAGTTAGAAAGTGTATTATTAATTTCTATTCTTTTGTTCTATAACTGATTCACATTTACTGGTTTTTTGAAGCTGCTGTTTGGGTCGAACATGTCTGTGGCCGTTCAAGATCCGAGTTTCCCGGTGATTATACTTTAATATAATTGATGTACTCGAACACTCAAGTCCAGTTTCATCCCCAGGCTTTCTGATCTTAATTTCTTATTTTGAAAGCAGGGTTATATAGATTCAAGTGTCATAATTGGTCAAACAGGGGATGTCGAGAGAGAGTCGGGAAGGTATAGGAAGATCGAGTACATGAAATGCGGACCACATAATGACTTCTTTCCGGACCTATCACGAACCGCGCGAACAGATGTCATATTCTTTTGCTCCCCAAACAACCCAACCGGACATGCAGCTTCTCGTGAGCAGCTAGAGCGACTCGTGGCGTTTGCTCAGGAAAACGGGTCTATCATCGTGTATGACTCTGCCTACGCTGTTTACATAAAGGATGGAATAAGTCCTCGCTCCATTTACCAAATCCCAGGGGCTCAAAAGGTAATAATCATTTCATTTTGTATATTTATCTATTTTACAAATTGGACCAAAATATATATATATTTTGGTCTGAAATGCAGGTGGCAATTGAAGTTTGTTCATTCTCCAAGATTGCTGGATTTACAGGGGTTCGTCTTGGGTGGACTGTGGTTCCGGAAGAAGTTTTGTACTCAAATGGGCTTCCCATTATAGACGACTTTAGTCGCATTATGTGCACCTGCTTTAATGGAGCTTCACGAATAGCTCAGGCTGGTGGCCTGGCTGCCTTGTCCACCGAGGGGTTTAAGGTGACCCATACATATGGTTAACTAGTACTCTTTTGCATGCGCGAGGGCAAATTAATTCGATTATGCTAAGCATTAAATAAAGTTTAAATTCGATCGTGTAAAAATATATCTACGATGACTAAGTCCCTCAAAACAACATGTGTTACAGGGTGTAACATCGATTGTGGATAATTACATGGAGAATGCAGAGATACTACTGCAGACATTTGAATCAGTGGGGTTCAAAGTGTACGGAGGCGTAAACGCGCCTTATCTATGGGTGCATTTTCCCGGTTCCAACTCGTGGGACGTTTTCGACCAGATTCTCCAAAGTACACATATAATAACTGTGCCCGGAAGCGGATTCGGGCCCGCGGGAAAGGAGTTTATAAGGGTTACGGCTTTCGGGAGTCGAGAGAACATTCTAGAAGCTTCTGACAGGCTGAGAAGCTTCATGTTACTCAAGTCCAGTGTATAAATTATAATTATAACAGAGCAAATGATAGTAATAATAATTATTATAATGTGATAATCTGATGTGGACCAATAGTTGTATTAAGTTTTTTTCTCACATTTTTTGGAAATTCTGTTTCCATAAATCTGATTCTACAAAACATGAATCTTCAGGAGACCATCTCACTCTTCACTCAGAAATTTTTCATACAAATATGTGTTTGATCCATTAAACTTAGCAATTACAACGAAGACACCCTCTTCTAATCCTATAATGTAATCACCTATACAACTACTTTCTCGACTACAAATCTCTTGTAAATTTTCACAATACGAATCTCTCTTATTGTACTAAGTGTTCATCCTGAACACCTACACTATCTCAAAGTATAAGTATCCTCAATGAGATCGAAAACAAACTCTCGTCTCCACTCAAATAAAATAAAATTGATCTAAAAAAGATGATTCAAACAAACAGCTCTCAAAGCTCTTTTCTCTTAAGAAAAAAATGAATAATCTTCTAATCGCGGAACATCCAAACGTTTAAGGAGTCGCTTATATCTTCCATAACCATGGTAAGTTCACATTGCCTTATTTCTTCCAAAATTAGCCGCTTACACATTCTTGTACTTGTGGCCGCTTATCTTCTTTGCAAGTTGACTTTGCATGATAAGTTATTCACACATCTCTCTGTTGCACCATATGGTAATTATTCCACATGCTTTATGGTTCCTTGCATGGTAAGTATATAATCCTTCTTATCTTTTCATGTGCGACTGCTTCATATAGTCAGATATCTCGTAGATTTCTTCTCGATCTCCTTCAAACAAAACAAACTGATTAAAAGTCTTAACCTAATAAGATCAAGGGAATTAAATAAAATAAAGCTAATAAATACTTTCTTTTATCTTTCATATGGTTCCAGTATATTATGTAGGTTCCACGCTTTAGTTTGGAGTTTGTCGATTTAATGTCAAACTTCACAAATACTAACAAAGATGATATAACGATCAAATTTAAAAGTCTGATTGTTGACGGTTTCGGGCGGGCCGGTTCTGACCCGGAACAAAACCCAGACTCGAAACTGTGTTTAAGAAAATAAATAAAGTAAAAATTGGGTGGTGGAATCTGCAACGGTTAAAAAGATACAACTGCCATGATGTAATCTGACCGTCGGGTCGTCAACGATCCTCAATGGTTCCGGCCCGGCTTGCACTAGCCTGAAAATTACAAAATATAAAAAGTAAATAATAATTCCAAAATTGGGGGCTTCTTCAAGGCCGGTTCTGGGCCAACCCTGAACTGCCCGACAATTCAAAAAATTATATATATGTAAACCTTATCCACGGGCCGGTTGAAGGTCCATGTTAAACGGGCCAGTTCAGCACTTGTTTGGGCCAAGCCAACCCGTGGCCATGTCTATTGCTACTCTATGCACCCTGACAGGGTCAAACCTCACTATCGAGCTAAAAAGGACCTCGGACCACCTGAAGCCGAGCTAATTACTCTTATCAGTCCGCAAAGCTAGTATGAATGTTATAGGGTATTACTATTTAGTGCCCTCTATTACTAGTCACCGCCCCCCTTGAATGATTTTGCCCTCCTCATTTTTCTCTCCATCAAAATGTCTTTTTCATTAGAGGTAATATTTTTTTTTGTTCCGTCCGGCCGACGAAATGGTACGTGACCGGCCGTGTCCAACTGACCAAACCGGACGGCCTTAATGGCGTCCGGCCGGTTCGGCCGGACATTACCGTGTACGTGCGGTAAACTGGGTCGTACGGACCGGTCCATGTCCGGACAGACCGGCCGTACGGCCCACTTGGTGTCCGGCGGCGACGGCGACGGCCGGACGGAATCTGGTCCGTCCGGTCCGGCCGGGCGACACCACTATTTTTTTTTAATTTATTATTATTTTTTTAATAATATTATTAGAATTATTTTGTTATAGAAATTATTTTAGGAATTAGAAATTATTATGTTAAAAATTTGAAATAATTATGTTATAAATTGGACGTTAGATATTATCGCTTTAGGAATTAGAAATTATTATGTTATAGATTCGAAATAATTATGTTATAAATTGGACGTTAGATATTATTCGGTTGGAAGTTAGAAATTAATTAGATTTGTTTATCTATAAATTGGACGTTAGATATTATCGCGTTAGGAATTAAAAATTATTATGTTGTACAATGGAAATAATTATGTTATAAATTGAACTTTAGATATTATCGCGTTAGGAATTAGAAATTATTATATTATAAATTGGATAGGAGTTAGAAATTAACTAGACATGTTTATTTATAAATTGGACGTTAGATATTATGGTGTTAGGAAATAGAAATTATTATGTTGTACAATCGAAATAATTATGTTATAAATTGGACATTAGAGATTATTATGTTATAAGTTGGACGTTAGATAATTATCGTGTTAGGAGTTATAAATTATTTTTATACCGTACACTTGTAGGGACAGATCACCAGAGCCAGGATAACTAGAGTACATGGACAGATGTTGATGTATTTCAGACGTTTTGTCCAAGAGGTTGAAATGGGTGATCCTGCGACGATTCGCTACATGAATCACCTCATGTACGCTCAGCTTTACCCGGACCAACAAGTTTATGCAGAACCTGCGATTAAGGAAAATACGCGAGGTCGTCCCAAGAAAACCGATTCAACTAAGCGTAAACCATCGCGCTGGGAGTACAGGGATAATTCAAGAGGTCGTCCGGTGGGCCGTACAAGCACATCTTCGCGTGGACTGACAAGCACTTCTTCGCGTGGACCGACAAGCAGCCAGTCTTCTCAACCGTCACAAGAGGCACCACAAGGTGACATATTTTTTTTATACAACTGAACGTTAATTAAAGTGTTAATATAAATTATATTATATAAGTTGTGACGTTAAATTATTATGATGTTTCAGTTGGTACGTCGACAGATATATTTGGTTTTGAATACCGAAATAGTATTCCCTGGCATATGTTGGAACATGTAGTGAGCTACTTGAATGTGAAAGCAGAAGGAAACTGTAGATTTCGGGTTATAGCGAGTTACATTTACGTGGACCAGGAGATGTGGCAACTGGTACGAGAGAACCTTGCCAATGAGATTTACAGCCACTGTGAGTTGTATGAGTATATCTATTTCAGGGATATAGAAACCAATCTCGGTCGAATAAGGTGGGACGTGGGGCCCTGGTGGCCCACATCACTGGATGGATACTCCATTCGACCTCTTCCCTGTTGCAACTCTATTTAATACGTCTGTCATTTTGTTATGCTCTGGTCCCAAATTCATCAAGTTCATCAAGCATGAATGCTAATAGTGAAACCAATCAACAATCTCGACTCACCACTTAGCTATCTCGACTCTCGAACAAACATCAAGTTCCATGCGGGAGAGATGACACGAACACACCAAAAACTCAAATAAAACCGGTCCACGACACAACAAATACGAAAAATAAAGCACAAAAATAAAGAGAATATCACCTAAACATGCATAATCACGAAATCCCTCCCCCACACTTCAAACAAAGCAATGTCCTCATTGCTTGACCAAAAAGTATAGGTGAAAGCACATAATCACGTACGTTCATGCGATAAAAATTAAAACGATAGACAAAAATTAACGGAACAAGATAAGATAACACAAAGACACACAAAAAGCAAAGAAAGAAAGAGAAAATAGGAAAAGAAAACGCGTAATCGACACGGTGGTCGTCACCACCGTGTGTCCAATAATGGTCATCCGGAGGGAATAGATAGGTCAACCGAAAACCATAGAGCGTGAATATGAGCCATCCGAACGGTTTAACGTTGAAGCACTCGAAGCGAGAGAGGCTATGTGTGTGTGTCTCGGAGAGATAGTAACCAAGAATGCATAAACTCGACGTAGACACACGTTCACGTGAAAGCGCGAAAATCGGGCCTCGAATTCCTTGTCGATCTCCGCCATGGTCCAACACAACGGACTCCGTATGTATGCAACGCATAAGCAATTACCGGCGCTTGCCGTAAGTAGGTACCTACAAACTCAAAATCCCGGCAAAAACACAAACATATGTGGTACGCCCGGCAAGACGTGCCTACAACGCACAAGTCTAACCCAATCATCTCAATACGACTACTCCGGCAAGAGTAGTGATCCACGCACAACGCATATCATGAAAGTACGGAAATACAAATCAAAATCGAGACGTTGAACTTTGGAAAATTTTCGAGGAAAACGGTCGCCGGAGTTCGAAAATAGAGAAGTATAGAAAAATAGGAGATCCGGTCGCCGGAAAAAAGTACCAAACGAAAGGAATCGATGGCATATAACAAGAAAAGCTCAAAAATACTAACCGGAAACTCGGTGGGTGCTCGTTCGCCGGAAAAAATGGTCGCCGGAAAAGTTTGCCGGATTCCGGCGACGGTGGCCGAAAAAGGTGCGGCTCGGCGAGAGGAGTCCGGGCATGTCTTCAGATTTCGGTGGGTCCATGTGAGTCACCGGCAATTTGGAGTTGAAGGTTGATGAGATTTGTAGATCCACGAGCGTTCGCCGGAAAATCGGAAGTCTTCTCGCCCGAATTTTTCCATGATGTCC